TATTTGACACTTCATATAGTCAGTGTAGAAAGAAAAAAAAGGGAAAGAAATTGCGAAATGTACGATCAGTATTTGCTTTCACTTACATCAATTTCTTGTATAATGTATTCTATTTTGCTTCCTCCGTCTTTCATTTTGATCACTTTTACCCTCTATTCCAGCGTTACAGCGCTTCTTGTCTTAGCTGCTTGACATCCAAAGGTCCGTCTTGTAGCCATTTTAGCAATGCAACGTTCATGCTGCGTCTGAATCTAACAATAACAAATACTTCCTGGACCCGGTGGCTTTTCTTTCCACCATCTCACTGTCTAACTCAGAGGTGTCAAACGTACGGCCCGCGGGCCGGATCCGGCCCCCAAAGGACTTTAATCCGGCCCGCGAGATGATTATGTAAAGCAGTGGTGTCAAACATACGGTCCGCGGGCCGTTCCATCAGGCCCACAGGATAATTTAAAAGTGAAGAAAATGCATAAAAGACACAGAATAAATATTTTTAATAAGGTGCAATTCATTGAGTATCCGCTAGGGGACACTGTTTTGATCAGAGAAGAAGACAACAGCAGCCTCAGTCCATCACTGAGACAGACCCATGACAGCAGACGCTATCAATAGCACTCTCACATTTACACATTTAATAGCACGCTCCTTAGTTTGTAAGGTGTAGGCAGGGATTACATTTAGATTTTATATGCACGTGTAAATGGTTTAAAACTTCCTTTCTTTATAAATCTCGTTTAATCTTAAAGTGCATTACTATATTTTTCAAAACCAATTACTTGTTAAAGTTTGTACAATCAGTGGGATCAGTTGCAATGCATATATGTGAATGATAAAAGTAAATTGCACATTCGTCAAAGGAAATGTAAGGTGCTTCATGAAATGTTTTGTAAAAGATATGTTCATTTAATTTCAACATTTTCCTAATGTTCTTGTGCTTCTTTATACCAAAACAAAGGAAAGACATATTGTTTTGGTTATTTATAGCAAAGTATGGTATCATTTTAATGGTCCGGCCCACTTGACATCTACCCAGGCCGTATGTGGCCCACCATGTGAAATGAGTTTGACACCCCTGGTCTAACTCAACCACACCTCGATCGCTACCCAAGACAGCGTTGCTCAGCTGATGTCATGCAATGAACTTTTAAAGCCAGCCACAGGACGCTTCGTAGTCCTCGATGGCCATAGTTAGCGCGATGGAACTCACCTTCTCTCTAATTAGTGTTCCAGTTAGCGTAAGGTTTTTAGCATGATAACAAGTAAAGCATTCCAGGAAACGTTCGTTTATTTGACTGTCCGTCGAGCCACAAGCAATTTACTCTGAGCAGCTAATCGGATGCATTGCACTCTATCTTCCACGGATCTAGCTACAGTACAGACGCTCCCCAGCTAACGAACGAGATACGTTCCGAAGGATCGTTCGTTGGCTGAATTCGTACGTAAGTTGCTTCAGTGCTATATTTTGTATGGGATGCATGTTTAACGCTTATATAAGTATGTTTAAGGTTTATATAAGTATAATAAAATGAAGTTTAACTTACTTTTGGAAGATGTACTCGAAGGCTTCAGGAGATGATGGAGGGGGAGAGAGTTCCGTCTCGAACTTCTTCATGGGGGCAGGCGTTTCCTCCTCCTCCTCCTCCTCTCACAGCGCCTCACGTCGGTATTAGCGGTGGAAAGAAGTACTACAGTACTCGGAAAAAGGCGCGCAATACAAAATCTAACTGACAGCATCTCTGTCCGAGAACATTTTTCGACATACCCGTACCCGCAAAAATGTTCGTATGTACCGTTGTTCGCAACACGAGAGTTCGTAAAGTGGGGAGCGCCTGTATATACACACATAGATAGTTGAGGTCCCTCTTGGCCAATCGGAGGCCAGGATGATGCTCGGTAAGCCAATGGCAGGGGAGCTATGAGTATGTTGGGTTCAGGAAACTCGGAGCTGTGTAAACCAGTGTGGTGGTTGCTGTTGCCGTTTCCGAACGAAGCAGTTGCGGTCGCTGTTGGATTAGACTTCGTTGTAGTGAATCTCTTTGCGAGGCAAGAGCAGAGAAAAAGATTTCGTATAATGCAACGGGGTTTTTTTTCGTTGTATGGGGGGCAGGAGAGTGGGAATGGTGTTAATGCATGAAGATTTTTTCACATTAGGGGGTATTTTACACATGTAGGTTTCGTTGTAGAGGAGTTTCACTGTATTGCCGAATTGATGGGACTCCTCCCTCAACTTCATACACATACAATTCTACCGGTGAAACATTATTTGCTTGGAGTTGAATGTACTATGACTGGATATTTAATTTTTAAAACACACCTAAATAGGGTGATCTTTAACTTTAACTGCGCAAACTCCATGATGTGTACCTTCCATGAGTGTGTAGCATTTGCAGTACGTCAGTATTTGTCTTCTTTGTTTGTTTTTTTGGTGTATTGTGTTTTTCTTTGCAGGAGTATAGCTAGCACTCTGCCAAATGTCAATCTTCAAATGCCCAAAGTACCAAATATATCGGTGCCAAGTGTTAACCTTGCACAAATGCCCAGCTTTTCTCCACCCAACTGGATGACTTCAAATGATGACTCCGAGTGTGTACTACTTGCCTCACTTCAGCACAGACATGCACGGCACGTGTCTTTGGCATAAATGTGGCATCGAAATGACACAAGGCAACAGATTGGTCCTGTGTGTCTCAGAGCATCCATTTTCTCTTTATTTGAAATGCAGTATTTGTGTTGAACGTTTATGTGATATCATGACCATCGTGTTCAAGTAGATGCAGGAAATTAAAAATGTATTTTTTCAAAGGAATTAAAAGGAGTTCCCCTTCTTATGTTCTCTTTTTTTATTAGAATAATTGTTACATTCACAAACTAGGCAACTCATGTACAGTGGCTATAAAAAGTCGACAACACCTGTTAAAATGCCATGTACAAAAGTGAGACTGACGTGAATCATTTCAGAACTGTTTTCACATTTAATGTGAACACAAAAAACAGGCTGAAATATTTTATGGGATGGAGTACAGCATAGGAATATGAAAACCAATAATGTGGTGACATGTCCCCAGTCTTTAAGTGAGGCTCCGGTTTTGTACAGAATTGGCCAATGACATTCAAGCTCATGTTAAATAGTTGGCAGTACTTGTTGCCATCATATAAAATGACTCTGATGAAGTCAAAACAAAAAGTTTAACTGTCCTAGTTGGCTTTTGACGAATTGTTTGGATTATTTATTTATTTATTATGAACTCTATCACCATGAAACAGTGATGGCAGTCACCGTCAAGTGGCGATGGGCATGCCTCCCCACCCCAAAAAAGGGTAGGTTGCAAAGAGGCCAACAAAAAGGCCTTCAGGCATATTAAAGGTGCTTCCAGAATGTTCGGCTTTGCCCTATACATTCAATTTCATTCCCTTTTTGAGTTACTGATCAGCACCATTTAAACCATTGCGGAAAAACCTCTGTCACTTTGAAGGAGCACAGTCACCTCCATCTGTAAATGGTACCAGAACTCTTCCTTCAGCGAGCCGCCTGTCTCTCCACAGTAATGGAGTAGAAGGGTCTTCGTCAGGGACTGACCAAGAACCTGATGTTCCCTCTGTCTCGCAAACCAATTTAGAGCACTTTTTGAAAGAAGAATGGAGAAATGTTGCCACATCAAAACGTGCCATAGAATCTTACCCCAAAACACTGTGTGGTGGAATCACATTAGTTTACGGGTTTGAATGTTTATTTTTTCAGGTTGTAAGTAGTTTTTTTTGTTTGCTCAAAAACATTCGAGTTTTTTCTTCCAGTTTAATTCTACATGTTGTGCTGCACATTAAAGAAAATGGTCTAAATTCATTCATCTTGGTCTAAACAATGTAATTTGGTTAATTATAATTTGCACTCAACAATAAATTACAAAAAGGCTCTAAAGTTCACATTCGTTTGTTAAAAAAGAAGAAAAAAAAAGAAAGATGAGTTGCAATTCAGCATTTAAATGAGAGAGAAAAATCTAATTCTAAATAAATAAATAAATAAATAAAACTGCGTCCAATATTTTGCCAATGCGGGATTTCTATTTTAATAATCAACAATTTGCAGTATTACTGCAAATAATTGTTGCCGATGGAGAGACTTATGCACTCCTTAAAGCCACATTTATGCCTTGTCATGGCGTTGAGCATTTTGCGGGCTGATCTCAGTGGAATATTTGACCTTCCCGGTGTTTTTTACCCTCTGTTGTTATTGTGTGCCATTGTGTGTTTGGGTCAGTTAAAATGAGGACAACATTTTTGTTGTTTCATTTGAATTGTGATCTCAATGTGTGAGTGTGACCCTGGTAAGTATTGCCGTTTATTTCTTCCTCTACAGCTTGTTTGCATTTTGCCCAGACTTGTTCCTCTTTCCTGATGACAAATTCAGCACTCCCATATGTCTTAAATGCATGTTTGCATATGACTTTACTTTCCTCAGACATAGTAAACGCTCAGGCGAGTTAATTTCTGTGTGTTTTTGATTGATTGATTTACCGTATTTTCCGCACTATGAGACGCTTCGGAGTACAAGGCACACCTTTATTGAATGGCCTATTTTCAAACTGTTTTCATATATAGGGTGCACCGCATTATAAGGCGCATAGAATAGAAGCTACAATAGTGGCTGCGGTTGCGTTATGCATCCACGAGATGGAGCTATACTCAAAAGAATACAATACAATAAAGCTTCATTTATATCGCACTTTCACAACCGCTGCAGCTGTAACAAAGTGCTTTCCAGAACTTTTAAAATACCAAGAAATCAGAATATTGATCCATATAGAAGGCGATTATAAGTCACACAGTCAGCTTTAGAGAAAATTAAATGCTTTTAGGTGCCCCTTTATAGTGCGGAAAATACAGTATTTATTGGCTAGTTGGTGTTTAGAAATTGATTTTGGAGAATATGTGTGTGCTCTGAATTTGCTCTGGAAATAGACGTCTCGTGTTTGAGATAATCAATATTGCAGAACCCTAAATGAAAAACTTTTTACCTCTTGCTTTTAAAGCAATGGCTCAGGGACATCAGAGGATCTCTTTTGGAAGTTGGATGCTCTTCAGACCTTCATCCGAGATCTGCACTGGCCAGAGGAAGAGTTTGGCAAACACCTCGAAACAAGACTGAAACTCATGTCAAGTGATATGATTGAATCCTGTATAAAAAGGTACAAAGGAAATATACCGTAACCAGAATGCAAGCAGATAAATCTGGAAAAATGTTACTGGGACATTTTATTCATATTCCAGTCAGGAATTAGCCCAACTGCTTATAGAGAGATACCATGAGTCAGTGACACTCCCCATAAATGTTTAGAATTGCCTATATTAACAGTTTGAAATGTGACTGTACCTCAAACTATTATATAACACTGCCAATACTTTTAAAAACATCGTACAACATCTCTATATCCTTGACAGTTAAGCATGCATAATATAATACGGCAATTTTTTCAATGTTCATTATTTCATAAACCCACTATGAATTTCAATAATTTCAATATGTAAAAAAATGTTCTATCACATAAATGGCAATGTTTTAATGTAATTGTTGGTGAAGTCATCCGTAATTACAGTACACTGGGCGCGGCTCCTTTACAGGAGGCTGCCATGTTTCGCAGCCATCTTTCTGCTCTGGATACTCAGTGGGGACAAACATAGCGAACGTAGTTCCTCAACATTATTATTACTACTGCATGTGTAACAAATGTACTTATTTTCGGCACTTGGGGAATACGAGAAAATTTTGGGGGTGATTTTTGCTTGCACCTCTTCTAAAGAATATTGGTGGTAGGCTTGCAAATTGTGATATTTCTGAGGCACCGTAGTACACGTGCTTCAAATGTATGCGCTTTGAGTTTCGGTCATTGCAGTCTTTTCACCACTAGATGGCACTAAATTCAACACACTGTACCTTTTAAAGTCAAGAGTGAAGTAACCTTGGCCAACCATCTTTTGAGTAATATTTAGGGCTAGAACCAATTCAAGCATACTTTTGTTCCAATCCAGGTTCATAGTTAGACCCATAGCAACGGGCTGAACAACGAAAATGCTTTTTCTTGGCAATCTCTGGCGAGTGACATCATTTACAGAACGCCGAGTCACCAGTCAGCCATTGTACTGCATTGGTGATTGTCCCGTTAACTGCTCTTTGTCATCGTTATCGAGTTACTCAGCGAAATACCTCGGCGCTTAGTGGCGATGCACTTTTCACATTCAAGCAAACAGTTGAGTAGCCAAAAGAAAAGAATAGGACCAGAAAATTGGAACGATACAGTTTCATTCTCGCAAAGCGAATTAATTTCACGCTGGTGTCAATGAGCATACTTTGTTACAAGCACTTAGAAGAGCTGTTTTCTCAACCGGATCTGCAAAAAATATGGGCGTGATAATCAACAAATAACTGGCTATCGTTTATGAAAACGTTCGATTAAAAGTATTAGACATCCACATGGATGTAATCCTGTACAAAAAAATTCAACCGATATGAGTGCATGGATGGATTCCTCTGTAATGGTTTCCAACGAACAATGCTGCCGATATAATGTGCAGGGTGGCCGACAACACAGCAAAACTACCTTAGCAATGACAATGTAGGACACCGACCAACTATGACGTGTACTCTCAGTGCTAGCGGGAATACATGGACCAAGTAGGTAATCCCATTGTGCGCAATTTACAGCACGGCACAGCATCGAATTTTATATATATATATATATATATATATATATATAAAACCGCAGCCTATATACCAGAGGTGTCAAACATATGTTCCGTGGGCCGGAACCGGCCCCCAAGGAGGTTTGATCAGTCCCCCGGGATAATTTAAAAGTGAAAAAATGCATAAAAGGCACGGAATTAATATTTTTAATATGCTGCAATTCATGGATTGACTTCCCTGTCACACAGACCCAACACAGCAGTAAAAGCCAGCTCCAAATTGCTCGCAAAATAGCATTAGCATCAAAGCCGTATTCCGACGGCTGCACTTGTATGTGCCGAGACGCGACAAGCTTTTGCCAATATTAGCCTGACGAGGAATACTCGAGCAGACAGGATTTCAGACCTATCTGCAGACTTAGACAGCCAATTGAAACAGAGAGTAAAGTCATTTTGTCAAATGTTTTGTAAAAGATATGTCCATTAAATTTCAACATTTTCCAAATATTCTTATGCTTCTTTATACCAAAACAAAGGAACAACATGATATTTTGGTTATTGAAAGCAGAGTATGGTATAATTTTAATGGTCCAGCCCACTTGACATCTAATTGGGTCGTCTCCACTCCACTTCGGGCCGTTCAAGCACATTTTCCGTATCCTGAGCATAGGGCTCATACTTATGTGTAGTCCAACATACATCTTGTTGAAAACCTCCTCTTCCTCCAACTCTTCAAACACCTGGATCACCTCAGATAAATTTGAAACATCGCTTTCCGAATCGCATTTTGACTGCCTTTAGACACTTTGTTTTCATGCTTTATTGACTGTGTTTTGTTGAATTACTTTACTTGTGACATTAAAATATTTCATTTGGAATTTTCTAAAATTACTTCACAGTTGACCTTTAAAGAAAGCACCAATATATGCGAAGATAGTGTATGGGATGCACGAAAATGCTCAAATGGGACTTACCTCTTATATGCGAAGGATTTAGATGTTATAGTCGGTCCAAAGCATAAGTGTACATTTCTGAGCGAGTTTCCTCAAGTGAAGCTTTGGCGGTCAGTGAAAAATAAGATCAGTTTTGCAAAAAATAGTGAGCAAAGTCTCCTAAGTATTAGTTTCAATCAAGCATTGTTTGTAAACATAATCGTATCATCCAAAAATGAACTAGAGATATTAGTTTGCGTTATGTAAAATTCCTATTGAGGCCCTTGAATGTGTCTTGTCTTTTCCAAAGAACACGCGCAGCGTTCGAGGCCAAGCTTCAGAGGAGCAGCCGGGCTACAGACTTCCGAGTGCCGCAGTCAATCTGCACCATGTTTAATGTAATGGTGGATGCCAAGGCCCAGTCTGCCAAGCTGTGTGCGATGGACCTGGATCAAGAGGTAGGTTGGAGCCGGAAATAACATGAGAGCAGCTTGTGACACATGCTTGCAACTATAAAGCTGACGTTTTTCAAGTGTGGAAGAATTTTACATTTTTATTGGAATGGTATTAAGTGCATTTAAATTAATGAATCCGTCATGACACATCTGTCGGGTAAGAAACATGTATTTTCATAGTTTAATTCTGATATTTCTCTGTCACATTTGCAGTTTTTTTGTTTTGTTTTGTTTTTTGTTTTCCTCAGTTGTTCTACACGGTTAAAATAATTTTACATGTGCAGCGCCACCTCCAGCTCTCCGCTTCTCAGTTGCTTTTCCCCCCCTCCTCTTTGTCTTGTCAAAGTTTGTTCGAGAATGGGTAAGTGTGGCCACAGATTAAAATGTAATCACACCTTCCTTTTCCCAATTGTATAATTAGTCGTCAGTTTTCCCTGTCTGTCTTCCTCCTTTTTAATTGTTTGGATTTCATTAGCATATGTGTAGATATTATTGAATATACATGGGGTAGAAGTGAGACATCTCATGTTTCGCAGAATCTTGAGACTGATTCCCATTCCTGACAATGAATTCATTATTGCGCGGTCCTTAGCTTTTCTGCTGGTGCCATAAGTGCAAACAAAGGGATTCATTATGGTAACACCGCCTTTGAGTTTCCATGACAGCAGTTCTTTGGCGGAATGAAAAGCTCCTTTGCCAGCCAAATAGTTAGTGACATACGAAAATACAGTGTAAGATGTAATTACAGTCATTTATTAACAATAATTACAATCAACAATCCCATTTCGGAACAACCAAAAGTATCATGTCAACTGTTTGACAACTGCAGTGATGTTTTGCAAACAGCAGACTTGGAGGGCGAAACAGAAATCAGCAAATTGCCTCGTGAATGGTTTTAGTTGAACTAATAATGATGTGATTCCTTGAAATATAACTGGGTAATTAAAGGTAAGGTATGTAATCATACTGTGAAGATAACAAATGGATGGTTGAGATCTCCATTTCCCTTGTGTGTTGAAAATGTATAAACCAGTGACATCACAACCATCAAAACAGTACAAGTATGACTTTTGAACCTGTTTTCTCTCCCGTTCTCTTTTTTTTTTTTTTTTTCGTGTAGAGACAATACCTATCCCAAATTGACAATCTCATCGAGGAAACGGTGAAGGAGATGACAACCCTGCTGGTAGCAAAGGTAAAGTGCCCAATTGCTTTATCTGTACTAACTTTATACAATTGTAATAGCTTGTCTTTTACCATAATATACATTTTCACTTCAAATTTACAGATTATATTCAACATGTATACACCTTTAAATGTGGACTTTCACTCCTAACATTTTGAATTAACTTTTGACGTGTTCCTCACTGAGTGATGGGCGCCATCAACAACTTTGCTCACAAACATTGTGGGTTAGCCTTTCCCAAATCTTTGAAGCCACACACCCAGTTGAACATCCTGTCAGAGTTAGCGTAGCCCATTTTTTGCTGCACATGCCCTCGAAAAAATTTAAAAAGAAGTGGGGGGGTGGGGGGAGTCCATGTATAGGTGATAAAGGCATCAATTGTAGAAATATGATGAAAGCATGACAACAACAAAAATGTATGAAGAAATAATGCATTCTCGTATGGATTTAAATTGAAATATTGATACAGGAATAGATCACTAAAATAATAAATAAATTAGCTCCCACAATAACAACAACACATGTAGCTTTTTTAACATACATTTTATTTTATTTTTGGAAGCTAAGAAACAATGTTTGACTTCCCTCTTATATGTAATGAGTAACATTACTGTACAAAGATTCATAATGTAAATCAAGATGGAGTTTGACTGTTCCTGATGCGATCCTGTTTAATTCTTCTCTGTTTCAGTTTGTGGTTATCCTCGAAAGTGTCTTGGCAAAACTCTCGAGATATGATGAAGGAACGCTCTTTTCCTCTTTCCTTTCCTTCACAGTAAGTTGGTTTTAATGGAAAAATTTGGGGGGGAAAGAACATTCTACATTCTTCTCATGTAATTGTCAAACTTGTTTTGATATAACCTGTCACATTCAAATGTAAGAACAGCCAAGTTGCTATTTAAACCTTAGAATCAGGTTTGATACGCAGGTTCCTCCTTTGCAAATTTTGTGACTGTAAAGTGATTATTAGTATGACACATCCTCCGGAAACTGCGAATCTATCAATCCTCGAGAGGCACGATACCTCACTGTAAGTGGAATCACACTTTCAAATTACCTACAGAGTTGCTTACAGAAGAAAAAGTGTCAGGTAAAAGGAAGGGCAGTGTTCTATGGACCAATCTTGTCAAATGTGCCATTTCCTGCAATTGATGTACCCATCTGTGCAGAATTTTCCACTGTAAGGAACCATGATGAATATTTTTGGATATCTCACTTTCAATTAATTGATAACCAGCCGCAGATTGCATTTAATATTATGATCGCTTACCCTTAATCTAAATAAAATACTGTAATTTCTTGCATGGAGATGTCGACACAATGATTTTTATAAATGGTCGAGTTCAACCTTTTTTTTTTTACTCCAGGTGACATTTTAGAACATGGCATACAGTATATTTAGCATTTTTGTCATTTAATTGTAATTTAACAAAGAAATTATTTCATATGAACATAAAAGAAATTCTTCTTCCTTCAGCTAACAGCTATTGTAAAAAAAAAAAAAAAAAAAAGCATGGTGGTTAAAGTCAGGCTATTGAACTTCTTCTTCTTCTTCTCCTTTCGGCACGTCCCTATTCAGGGGTCGCCACAGCGAGTCAGTAATTTCCATCCGCCCCTGTAAACCGTCCTACCAACTCGCATGGTCGTCTTGGCAAAAGTTTTACGCCGGATGCCATTCCTGACGCAACCCTCCCCATTTCTCCGGGCTTGGGACCGGCACTGGGGAACAGTGCACCCCCAGGGGAGGGCACTGCCCCCCAGCGGCTGGGTTAAAGTCAGGCTATTGAACAACCACATTTAAATTTTGTTAGCACATCGACAAAAGGCATTCGACTACAAGTTATACAGTTTCATTTATTACGCATTTTTTTATGTGAAAAGTGATATAGCGAAAATGCTGACTGTTTTATCATCCATTTATCATCTCTCTCCTTTATGACAAGGTAAAAGCTGCCTCAAAATACGTGGACGTACCTGTAAGTAAAAGTTACAGTTCTGTGTACGTCTTTTTGTCTTGATTTACACTTTGGAACAAACATTGAAATTGAAATAAACATGAATTGTCCTTTTTTTGTCTTTGTTACGTACTGGTATTTTATTGAGAAGGGGGGGGGGGGAAATAAGTGTCCACAGCTTGTAATTTTTCTCACATTTCAAAACAGGTTTTGACATTGGATATAATAATCAATTCCAAAGTCAAGCTTTTGCATTCAAAAGCGTTTGTTAATGTTAAATATATGCGTAAAGCAACATTTTAAGCATTTCAACTGTCATATTGATGTAGAGTGACTGTAGTTTTTGGACTACGAAACACACCCGGTTCAAAGCCGCAACAGGTAAATGTATCCATAAAACACATTTGTACAGATATTGACCTCGGGTCTCCACGTTATGAGATGAGATATTTGTAAAGAAAGAGGTCACACAGATAATTCTGTTGTTCAAAACTTTTATTTACCATAAACATCTTAAAAATACCATTTTGTTTTTCTTTTCCCCCCCAAACAATGCCGAACTCAGCTAGTTACACAGTAGCGTCAAAGAAACTTTCTAAGTCTCTCATGCTGTTACACGAGGCAAATTTGCCAAGGAGTTTAGACCGAGGTCACACTGCAGAAATTGCTGTATTTATGGCACTCATTCCCTGTCCTCATTAAACTCGATTCAAGATGCTTATTTTTGCTCTCAATTGCTCCTTACACAGCCAGCCGGGTACACTGATCCACACACGCAGAATCTCTCTCTCAGGCAGCCTGCTCCTCCCTCACGTGTGTGCAATCCAACTACAAATATCTGATGAATGTTAAGCATGAGGGTGGACTTGGACATTGTCATTGGTACACTGTGCCGTATTCGATAATTTAATTGGTCAAATGAAACGTGATTATGAGTAAATATATTGACGGCTTGAAACTTCCATCCATCCATTTTTCGAACCGCTTTATCCTCACTAGGGTCGTGGGGGGTGCTGGAGCCTATCCCAGCTGTCTTCGGGCAGTAGGCGGGGGACACCCTGAACACAACTTTGGTAGACTGCGCTATGCCTCAGAAGGGGCTCCGGCGTATTTTATTGCACCATGGTGCATCTGGCAATTTGGTGGCCAAAAGTAGACTAGATTTTAGACTAGCTAAAAGCCGGTCTAAGTTGTGGTGTAACGCAATTTTGATGGATCTGTTACACCCCACAATAACGTACAATGGTGCAAAAAAACCTCTACCTGTGCGGGTCTAGGAAAATAAAAAAAGAAAGAAAACTCAACCCATGTGCACAGTTAGACTGCGCTTTGCACGAACCTTGTGCTGGGCACGAAAATAGGACTTGAGGTTTTAAAAACGCATCAGATGACATGTTGCACCCTTAATAGGACTAGGTAGTTCATAGTAGTTCATGCCTTACAGACACCGTTATGTTGTGATTTTAGTTTTACTTTAATTGTTGGGGCACCAACTGCAAGCCAATAGAAGGTGAAGCAATTAGAATTAGCCTAGCAAATTTAATAAAAGCAATCGCAATGCACCTTTGCAGAAAATAATACCGGGAGGAAGCAGACACTGCAGGGGGGGATCACTGGAATTGGAGACAGACAATTTGAGTCGCGCTGCAGATGCACTACGCACATTTCAGTGTTTGACGTTCTTATTTGTCACACGAGGCAAACATTTAACTGCGTAAACAAGTGACAGCTGAAGCTGAATTATACTTGTTTTTTTTTTTTTTAACAGAGTCTGCTTAGTTTACATCCAGTAACTCCCACTGTTCTCAGGGCCTTGAAGAAATCACAACTGGCCTGTTATGATTATCTTAGAAAGAGTTGTGGTTGATTCAACGCCCCGACAATCGTCATTATTCTTTGCTTTACACACCACTTGTTGAGGCTGATCCTTTTGTCTTTGAATAGGTTTCACAAAAATACAGATTAAGCAAAGCACATTAAGGCAGTTCAAACTCTCAACATTGGAGGCATTTTTTTTTCCAATGTGGACCTAAAGCCACAGGTGCACCTGTCTATATTGAAGTTTAATTTTTTTAAGCAATTTGACATTTCTCAATGAATAGTGTACAAAACACAAAATATGGTCCAAAGTATGACCTCGAGTAGCAGCCTTGAGTGGACAAAAGTTTGGACAAAACAAAATCTGTGAATTATAGAGCAAAGTCCGATTCGTGGGGATTAATTTACGGCGTTTGAAATGATAAGTTTGTTCCACAGTGGTGCGTTGAGTTTGTGTTTGTTGTGTCTGTTACTTGTCCCTGTGCAAATATTGGACAATGACTTTCATTTGTGGCCTTATACCAGATGGTGTTGATATGTACTGTATTTGTGTTTCCAATATCAAATGCATGTGGCCTGACACTGACAGCCGTGCGTAGAATACATAGTGGGCTCTTGTTTTACAACACATCCCCGTTTGCTTTGAGTGGCAGTGACGGTGGAGAACATTTGGTCGTGTGTGTGTGTTTGAGCTGTATTAGCTGCCAACACTTCGGTCATTGCAACATGACAAATTTCAAATTAATGCCTTGTCAGTAAATGTGAAGAGGCATTGCTTATCCTGGCAGGGGTCGCACTTCTCAGTCCAGCATGCTAATTATGTTCATATACAAATCTAGCATTTCACTGTTTAAAAAAAAAAAAAAAAGGACACACATTTACACACGAAACATCATTGCAAATGTGCGAATGGAGTTTTGAAACAATGTCATTTGGGTTGCATTTTTCTTTTCACACCAAAAGATTTGAAAAAGGCAAAATATGCTTTTTGGATGGGTGTTGACTTTTGACGCTCCTGAATTGTCGGCAGTGAATATTTTAGAGATCAGAATGGCGGCTGCTCTCACAATCTGCTCTCCCAAATCGAATTGTGAGATGTCCCATTTCGGTTTTCACATGGCCAGACCGTCAAGAGTTTTTTTGGCAGCTCAATCTACATTCTTTGACAAGAACTGAATGAAGAACTTTTTTTTTTTCAGTAATTCCTAATATTCAGGCGGGATTTTAATTTCACCGTAATAATTGAATTTAATCAACTGTCTAAAATCTCTGACAAGTTACCCATACTGGGAGTTAAACACAGGCCACCTGTAGGCAAGACAGGAATTCTAACCACTAGAGTAGTGTTTCCCAACCTTAATTGAGCCAAGACATGAATTTGACATCAGAAAAAATCTCGAACTGGTCTCAATGTACTCACAACTCATTTTACTCAGTGTAAAATCTGAGCCTGTTGAATGGTACACAAAGTTGGTGTACTCAACACAAAGCCGTAGCTTCTTTTGGTGTATGAATAGCAACAGGTGGATTACAGAGGTTTATTCTACCTTCTGCCATCTAATGCAACTTTTATGACATGGTGTCATTCTAAACGTATTGAGCCATATAGGCTGGTAAGACTTTGTGCCAGATGTTGCCGTGTGCCCTTTGGCATTGTTGTCCATTCATTACCTTTGTGCTGATTGTTTTTTTTTTTCTTTCTAAATTGAACCTCAACAATTTAATGAAATAAGTCGTGTTATATACCAACCTGCACCAAAATTGGGTGGGGGTTTTTTCCTCTCTCTTTAGCCTTACCTGTTCTTACATCGTTTTTCAGAAGCCAGGAATGGATGTGGCTGATGGTTATGTGACCTTTGTTCGACACTCCCAGGACATGTTGCGGGAGAAAGTGAATGAGGAAATGTACATCGAAAGATTGTTTGATGTAAGTAAACAATTTTCCATTCACTACTTAACTCCTCTGTATCGAGCTGCTGCCCAAACTGCATCCAATCGTCCAGTTATTTTGAGAAGTTGACCGCACAAACACATGATCGTCTTTCTTTCTGTTGGAAAAGAAAAAAAAAAAAAGTAAACCACTCATGCTTTAATCAACTTGCAACTCAGCCGCATGACACTGTTTGCTTTAAATACATAAGCTGGTTTCAAGTAACATCAAAACAGCATGCACTGTCTCCAAATGAAGGATTGCTCCCCCACTAAATGTATTGAAATAATCCCTGCATCTGGATGAGTTGTAGCTCTCCGTGCCTAATCTGAGGGCCTTTTCACTGATCTTGGTCCCATTTATTCCTCACTTAGTCGTCGTGTTATTGTGGAGTGAGGGTAGGTTTTTGGGGCAGGTTTAAATTAACTACAGTATACGTACTATTGCTTGTTTTTCAGTGTCGGCACAATAAAATCAGCTAGAAAAAATGGAACAAAATTCTATTCACTGAAAAAACATTTTCAAATGACACGAATACAACAATATGTGTGACAAAACTGATGCTCCTCTCTCTTTTTAAAAGATTGCCACACCTGCATAAAATACCTTTGCATCTGTACAAATTCGACAGCAACTGTGTTTAGCAGTCAAGCGTGTTTTATCGCCGAGTTATTTCACTGGCCACTACAACTGACTACACAGGGAAAATGAGTCTGGTAAACTGAAACACAGATGATTTGTGTGTGTGTGTGTGTGTGTGTGTGTGTGTGTGTGTGCGCGCGCGCGCTCGCGCGCATGGTGGAGGGGCTTAATCTCTGAGTAGAACCATTCTTTGACATCCCATTAAACAGGATCACACAAACATGTTTACTTCAGCAAAGATTCTTTTAAGTCACAATTGAATCATTGCCAAATGAAACTGTTTTTGAATAAGTCAACAGTGTGTTTATGTCTTCTTGGATATTTTGGAACTTGCATTATCCAGAGCTCAGACTGTTTTTCGGTTCATCCTAATTAGCATAAAAGCAAATCTAGTGCCGTGTTTCTATTGATCCAACCTTTTGTTGTCTTGTAATGTTTGCCCTTCTGCTGTTTAAATAAGCAAAGCATTGTTAAATAAAGCCACCTCTGTCAACATTGTCAATATAAAGCTGCGACTTCAACCTCTGATTAGCAGCAAATTTATTAGAATCCTTTGAAATGAAACTTCAACTTGCAAAAAAAAAAAAAAAAAACAGATTATGACCTTTAACTTCAGGGACTTTTGAATTCAGTGTCACATTGCGTTTCTTTAGCAATTCCGTAGACTGTAAAAGGCAATGTGTTTGTACTCACAGACCAATATAAATCATAGCAAAAAAACCAAGATATTGCTGGATAAATATTTTAAAATTCCTATTGCAAATAAAACCACTCTCACAGCACACGCGCCACATCATACTCTAAACCAGGGGTCAAAAGAAACGTGCAGTTTACAGCAGCAACATTTTGAAAGGAAGAAAGTAGAAAAACATAAAGTATTGGCATGCACAAAAATACATTTAAAAATAAACTGTACACAGTACAGAATGAAATATAAAATTCTCCCAGCAATATTATTTGTTATTTTCTTTTTCTTTGTACAACATTGCTGCATCTGGATTTTGACCTCTGAGAAATGTTCTCAAAATTAAATCGTGTCTTGTTAATGTACTCTTTTCTTTTAATCAATTCGGCTTTGCTAAGCGAACATACAGACACTTAAATTTCTTGTCATGTGTCATTCTGTCAATAAAACCTTTACTCCATTATTGTATATTTAGCAATCAATTCAGTGGAAGACATTGCACTCAATAAACCAAAACTGCAATTAAAACAGATAAGATGGAAACAGTTTGTTCCTTAAAACTTTTCAAAGAAATAAAATATCCATCCATCCATTTTCTAATCCGCATACCTTCATACGGGTCACGGGCGTACTGGAGCCTATCCCAGCTGTCATCGGGCAGCAGTCAGGCTACACCCTGAACTGGTTGCCAGCCAATCACAGGGCACACATAGAAGAACAAGAATCCGCACCCACACTCACACCTAGGTACAATTTATGTTCCATTAACCTGTCATGCATGGTCTTGGAATGTGGGAGGACACCAGAGTATCCCCCCCTCCTCCCAATTGAGTTGCAGGTCACATTAATGGTGGACAATTTGAAAAAAAAATATATATATATATATATATTAGAGCTGTCAAAAGATTAAAATATTGAATCTAATTAAAAATGCAACTGTCATAATTAACTCAAATTCACTAAAAATTAATCGTGATTACTCACGCATTTTTGATCGTTTCTGAATTTCCTTTTATATTTTTTGTCCTATTTTTCCCCATTTTAATGCTCTCATC